TTTGTTACTGCTGAGACAGTTAGACGATGGAAAGGCCATACATATGGCTTAGCCTTGTGGGCTTGGCACGACCCACTCAAATAGTCAACCACCCAACCACCCACGCGATGACGACTTTGAAAGAAATACGCATTGGCTTTTGGCTTTGGCTACGGCTTTGGCATTGACCAGGCCCATTAAAGTGTCTCCTTATTGCCATGTTGTAGCATTCATATTCACAAAAAAAGACTGCTTATCAAACGCAAATAAACTCAAGCACTACGTTAGTCTAATATCCAACAAGCCACTGACTTGGCAAACTGACTTTCGACCAGTTATTTGGCCATACAATTGAACGCACAAATCAATTCTTATTTAAGAACAGCTGACTAAAAGTTTGGCAAGAAACTACACAAGCTAAGAATCTCTTTTAAAAATATGTTTTAAAATATTCTTGTTTTATGAACCAAAAGCTACTAAAGATATTATTATCATGTTGCCGATGATTATAAGTAAGTAGCGAAAATGACTCAATTGTTGAGATTAAAGACTGCATCTAATTTATGGGATTGGATTGCCACTTTTTATTACAGAGAACTTATTCTTAAGAATATAATTAACTTAAATAAAAATGCAATTAGAGTGATGAAAGTTAAAGAGCTTCAAGTTTGAATAGCGTCAGAATTAAAATCTTGACGAAATAATTATAAAAAACAAAAAACAGTTTTAAACATTCTTGGGCTAGCTCTAGGGGCAACTGTAAGAGCTACTTGAGAATTTGTATGTTTTACGTGAGAGGATATGGAGGGAAGACGACTTGCAATAGTCGAAGCTATATTCTGTTTTGCATAACAGGTCAACACCTAACTCTCTTATCACATTGTGTTCCATATATTCCGCCTGAACCCATCTACTTCATCTATATGCAATATTTATGTGAGACTGTTTTGTATGTATTCAATAAAATTATCATCTTGCTTTCGTACGTGCCGCCTGGCCAAGTTCTAAGGAGCCAGGAGTGTGTCGTTGAGCTTGGCTGGCTACAGCTCGTGCAGCTGCCCGCTTACACCCCCTCCCCCCACCACCCCCTCTTTCCACTCCCTACTGTGCACGAGCTGCTTATCTCATAGGAAACACTGGTTGCTTTGCGAGTGAGTTTTCGAACCAAAAGCAGAAGAAAATAAAAAGAACCAAGTGGAAGCAAGCAATGTTGCCAACTGGAATTGGAGCAAGAAAATGCAAGTGAAATGTTGAAATGTTTTTTCTTTATTGGAGCAAAAAAAAAAAAACATTGTGCTTAAAAATTGTACATTTGCTTATGGCATGCCAAAAACTGGAATATTTCTGTATTTTCTTTGCATGCTCGGCCAAAAGCCTCAACAAGTTTCTGTTTGGCAAACAGAAAGCAAAAAAAGCTAAGGCATCATTTAAAGCTCGTGTTTCGCCCAAGTCGAAATTATGTTAAGGAAATGCACACAGTTGTGTGTGAGTCTGTGCGTGTGTGTGTATACGCAGTAAAATACAATACAAAATACAGGCAGTCAAAAGTCAGTTTTATATTCATTACAACCACGAGCAAGAACAGCAGGAACGAGCAGCAATTTACGACTTCAAAGCAAGCAGGTTCGCTTTTTTTTATGGCTACGGCTGCTCACCTTATAGAAAAACCGCTCTCACACATACAGACAGGACAATAGTCACCCGCACACATTCACTCAAAATGACCCTAAAGTAGTAAAAAACGAAAAATAAATTAAAATAGCAGCTACGTCAAAAGTTGATGTATAACTCTATTTATTGGTAATGTCTAGATTTTATTGGACATGCTAAAATTTGTTATGTACTTTAAATGCGTTACGAAACGATAAAATAAATATTGGATTCACAGGAGCTTGTTGTCAAAGTAAACTGTGATAAAAGGATAGTTTTCCTTAAAGATTAAAAAGACAAATAATTGAAATATCTATCTATTCAAGACACCAATTCAGAATATTCACTTTTAAAGTAATTTTTCCCACAACTTATGCGAGCTTGAATTTAAGTGTTTTAAGAAAACTTTATTATATATTAATCAAATTTAAAATTGTCGCTTTACAAGTTATGTGTGAAAAAATATACCAAATATTTATTATGTTGAAAACATGGCTTTTCCCCAAAACTAATTGTAAATAAAGGAATTATGTGGAGCAATCAAACTTAACATAGCTTACCCAACTGGGTAACATTCCAAACAGGAATTTCTTCCTATAATAAATGTTTGCTCCAGAAGTTCAACGATTGCAAAATTGTTGAAGGACGATTGGACACACACACACACGCCCACACAAACGCACACACACAAACGTATTAGACACACCTGAATAAAAGACATACATACCTCCACACACTCGCACTCAAATATATATTATGTATGCGTCTTAGGCTAATCTAGGTAACAACAACAGCTAGTACCAAGCCAAGTACATAAAGTCTTAGGCAGCTAAAAACGAAAGTAATGGAACAGTTTCTATTCTACATTATTTTTTTATCTTTCTCTGTTTTTTTTAGTTCGCCTAACTAACTCAAATGAAACTCAACTTGGCTTATTTTGAAGGCCTTTTTGGAATTTGGTCGTGCCTTTTGCGATTGTTTATTTATTTTGAGCTTAAAATTAAACGTACACGAAACTTTTGTTGGTTGGGTAAATTACTTTACACGCTACTTGAACACGCAGACTACGTAAATTCTATTCTCAACATGAGCTGAACATTTAATTAAATTAAAAAAAAAATTAGAACTTGTAAAGAAAACCTACGCAACATTACAATGCCAATGGAATGTAATCTTAATGCGTACACCATAAAAATAATGCTATTATATATATATATATATATATATATATTACAGCATACTTTTGTTGTATCACGGTATAGTGACCAACATATGTGGATTAGGTATAATACAGTTCCCTGTACGCGATCCCAAATTGTTTAAAACAAATATTGGTTAAATTATTTAAGAGGTGTAAATCGAAAAGTTAAAATTAAAATAAAAGTTGTTTAGTACATACTTTTTTTTTAAAATAATTTACATAAATAAAAAGTAAATAAATTTGTTATACAGCTACAATCAAAATATACTTCAAACAAATTAAACATCATGAAAGCCGTATGCTTAAAGAGAAGAAACCATATCAATTATAATGCTATTATGGATTGAACTGTCGATGAGTTGGGCTAGCATAAGTCGGACACTATAATCGCTAAATAAACAAGCGTTTAATGGTTAAATGTAAAATAGAATAATTAGGCCTTTTGCTTATAGAAACATAAGTATTTCACAGTCGGCTCCGGCACAAGGCAAAATAGGCTAAAATCATGCAATTTGCTCTACGCTACAATTGGCAGCTTTTTATCAGCATATTTGCTGTGCTACGCATAACCTGGCTGATAAGAGATACATTTTTTTCTACGTACTTTAGTTTCGTAGCTAGAAGAAGGATACGCACGAGTCGCGCACGGCTGGAAACATTATTAAATATATATGTGTTATATATTTATATAAATATAACTTCTTTTTTGATAGTGTGCGAACAAATATTTTGTTTAATTTTGGAATTAATTAGATTAATTTATTTGGTTTTATCAAAAACACGACCGTTGAACAGATGTACAGCAAAGCTCATTAAGCACTACCATTTAATAAATAATTTTTCTTTTTTTTTTATTTATAAATTTGATTTATTTATTGGTTATGCTATTAGTTATTGCTGCTTGGAGTTTGAAGCCAGTTTTTGTTAAGTTGTGCTGCGTGTCTGTGTGTGTTAACGAAATGAGGAAAGATTGTCTACTGAATTTGCAAAAAACTTGGCCCGAACCAAAAGCCAAACGAACTCAGTCGAGGCGCAGCCACAGTAGAGCCAGAGCTTTGCAGCTGCTGCTTCTGCTGCTGCTTCACGGACAACGTTGCGTATGTGTGTTGTGTGCGAAGTGCGTGTGTCAGTGTTGTACAGTAGTGTTGGGCAATGCGCGCGCAAATTGCCAAACGATTGCACACAACAGGCAAATGGCAATGTCGCCCACAACAGCTGAGCAGGCAACCAGCTGCTCAAAGAGACAAAGCGAGAGAGCGACAAGAAGCGATTGAGAGCGAGAGAGCACGCGCACAGTTAAAGGACAGTTAAAGTGAAAGTATTTTTGTGAGTAGCCCCCCCTACCCATTATACTGAACCCAACCGCCCAGCCACCCACTTGCAGGCCACTAGAAAGGTCGCCAATTTCACTGATAATAATTCCAACATCCACGTTGGCAACGCTGTCATTCATGTCAAGCGTGCGTATGACAGAGATAGCAATAAGAGATATACTCGCTTTCGTTATGCTGCCCACTCAGTGTGCACAGTTGGCCGGAAGTGCCTATTGGTAAGTGGCATTTCCTCAAGCAAATAATTGTTAGCCTAATAAAATGCAATCTAAGTCAAGAAAGTAGAGCTCAAAATGTGACAACTAAATATAATATTTACAGAGATTACCCATAAGGATTATTTTGTAAGCCTTTATAATTTAGTCAAGTGCATAGGAAACTTTTTATATAAAAAGAAAAATTAATTAAAAATAAGTAAGAAAAACTCAATATCAAAATGGCTTCCAGCTTGACAATCAATTAAGTATTTTTTTTATTTAGTTAAACATTTGTAATCATGCATAAAAAAACAATTCTTAATACTGTTAGTGATCTTTCTTTTGGATGCTAAAGTGAAAATTGAAAGAAAATTTGCTATTAGTTACCAAATTATGTCGAAAAGAATGAGTTTAAATCGATTGACTTTCTATATAATTAAGCTTCTAATTAATTAGAGTTAAAACTCGAGTCAACCTATCAAGTGGTTCAAGTTAATAAAAACGCGAAAGAGATCCGATTCAAACGTGACAAAATTATGATTTGATGTTATAGAAAAGCGACAGCACGTTATCTGAGTAGTTCCATTGTTTACATGGCGATTTGCACGCCGAATTCGAAGCCAGCTGCTGCAATCCAAAACCGAATAGAATCGACTCTAATGATGTGGCTATAAAAACCAAGAGCTAGCCACAAATGTGCAACAGTCAGCAAAACTTGGGAATATGTGGAAGCAACAGACTCTGAGCATTACTCTCTATACTTTGTTGGCCCTAGGCCAAGCCCTGCCAGTGGATGTACCACGCTACAATCAGCTGGGGTAAGTGCAAAAGAAGCAAATGCATATACACCATTCAAAATCGTTGAATAAGAGGGTATAATTTAAAAATGCGACAGTATATATTAGGCAGAAGTAGGCCCCCTAATATGTATTTTTGAGCCGTCCGCCAATGTGAAAATTTAACGCCATTTTTTGTCAGTTTCTTTTTCAACCCAAACAGACCAAAAAAACAATATACCCATTAAATGCTCCCCGGTTGCCACAAAATATGACGTCATCTTAAAGCCTTGCAAATATGTGTTCTAGCCTGACTGCATCATATCTCATAGTCGGACACTGTCGACTTGAGCTCTCGTGCATGTTTGGCTACAATTTAAAAAAAAGTTACTCTGTATTTAACCAGGTACAAGCAGCCACAATTGAGCAACTCAAGTGGCTACAACAACTTTGTGCCCACCACCGATCGACTGGGCGTTACAGCGACTACGCCCGCACCACAATTTGAATATGCTTTGCTGGGTCAGGACCCGGAGGATCAACACTGGTATCGGGTCAGTCTTACCCCAACGGGTCAGAAGTCTGGCTATCGTGCCCAGTTTGCAACACGAAAATCGCCACCGTACGATGCACAGCAGGCACACAAGCACGACAAGACCATCAAGGAGCTGCTCAACTTCCTGGAAAAATCCGAAGAGCATAATCTGCTGAAGGTCTATGGGCAGCTGCTGGCCAGCGAGGACTACAACGATCAGGAGGGCAAAAGCAAGCGCAATGTGGATAAAATTGAAATTGAATTGGATAACGATCTGGATGTGAGAAATCTGAAAACCGATCCGAATCGGCCGCTGCTTCTAGTTGGCGAGCTGCAAGGAAATACGCCCGGCAGCAGCCACAATGCCAGTGATTCGTCAATGGTCAAGAATTTTGTTTACTTTATAAAGGGTTTGAAATGAGAACGTTCATTAATTATTAATGCCGGCATTTCAAAGCACTAGAGGCTGCAGCAGCAATTTGAATATAATAAAAGTTTATTCAATGCAAACTATTTATCTTTAAAGTTCTCTCATTTTCTGCATTAATTAATCAGATTTAAGTTAACATACGATTAATAAATAAGTAAAGTAATTTCTCCAAATCCATTTTCATCCCAGCCGACTAAATAATCTCCTGACTGACTGGCTGACTGACTCGCTGACTGACTGACTGATTGGTGATCAACGCACAGCAAAACCCGTAAGAGCTAGGAAGCTGAAATGTTAACTGTAGTGAGGGTAACTGTGATGAAAGTGCACGTTAAGACGGGGTTTCGGGAAATTCCACCCGCAAGTATCGAAAAACCGGGAATCCGATTAGCCTCAAACTCAATTTCAAAGTTCTTTGCTCAAATTCATTTGAGGGTTGTCTCACACTTTTCCAAAAATGTATTCCTTGGTGGAAATGGGGGTCAAAGCTTTGGTGGGTGAAGTTTCGCGCTCAAATTTATTTTCAAAGCTCTATATGAAAAATCATTTGAGACGTGTTTCACATTTTTCGCAAAATCTAAACTCCTTCGGCAGAAATGCGATTCAAAAATTTTTTTGGCGAAGTTTTATGTGGTGTCCGATTTGCTTTAAACTTATTTTTAAAGCCTACATAAGAACTTATAAGAATTTAATGATATATTATAATATATAAGAATATATTGAATGCGTGTTTCAGCGATTTGCGAAATTCCAATCGAAACAGTGGTAAAATGACGTAAAACGTTTGTGTGAGAGTAGTTTGCTATTCGAGAACATTGATTTTATAACATAAGTGCCACGGGCAAGGCCGGGCTATACCCGCTAGTAAAATGACAAAAAGGCAAACCACAATATATGTATAAATATTTAAAATTTAAATTTTATTGCAATATACATTCAGGTGCTGCGCGAGTCAAAGAATTAGTTATACTTATGTCAACAAATCTCGTATTAAACACAAGCATATTATTCAAGACATTTAAAATAACCTAACTTTAAGTGCATCTTAATGAAATATATACTTTTATTAAGGTTGGCGCATAACAATATAAATATTTTGTTAAGTTTTGCCCTATCAATTCAATGCGCTTTCACCTTATGATACCTATACTCACCACACGAATTTCTCTTATACTACTCAATATTCTAGCTCTTATACAAAAATATATTATAATATGGGCTCTGATAAGCGCGAATGGCAAACAAAATATATGGTGTGTGTGTGTACGAAAGAGTGTGCATATGTTTGTGTGTGACCCAGTTTTGTGGACACTTGCTGCTCCAATTGCAAAGCATTCGCAAGTTGAAAAAAGAAAACTTTGACCAACAAAATTCAAATTAAAAAAAATATATTTATACATATATGCAAAAAATGGAAAAACTTGAATTTGACTTGATCTATTTTGTACTTTTATTTAGGTATTGTGCTGTTGCAATTGGAGTATTTGCGAATCCTCGCGATTGGCACGCTCCAGTTTATCATTGCTGAGCTCATAGGCCGGCCGATAGATCAGCTTGCCCAATTGCTCATTATAGACCAGCAGGCTGGGATTCGTTCGTGTGTTGCTCCGCTCCCCGAGCGATGTGTAGCCCTGATCATAGAGACTGCAGTAGGGCAACTGTTGGCTACGCAGATAATCCCAAATATCATGATAGCTCCACTCCAGCAGTGGAAAGATTCGCATCAGCGGCGGCCAATCCCTGTCGCAGGGCGTTAACTCCGACAGCTCAGCGCAGCCAGGATCGCTGCGTCGGCAGCCCAGAAAGACGGCACGAACCTGCGGCTGCTCGGCCAATGCCTGCTCAATGGCCAGCTTCAGTACGCCATTATAGCGCCGCAGATCCATAGAATAACGCTGCGTGCATAAGTCTATAAACTTCTCCACCTCTTCGAAAGGATCAAAGGATTTGAAGCATACGGCGCGCAGGGGCTTCAACGCATCGCTCTGCTTTGTCAGCACATCCAGCAGTACGGTGCAGTCCTTGCCGCCATTGAAGCACAACATCAGCTCCTCCGGCCCGTACAAACTGCTGGCACGCTTAATAATTGACTCTGCCTGCTGCAGCTTGGCCGCAAAATGAGGGTTCCCTCTGCTCTTCGATTCATCCGTAGCCTTAGAATAACAACTGCGCTTTATTCTCACCGACTGTTGCCACATTCTCAGCCAATTTTGTTGCTGTGATATCATGACGCCTGATTCTTCGGAATGCTAAAATTTATCTTTTACTGTAATATTGCCCGTTTCTAAAATGTAAATATTTTTAAATCTCAGTTGTGACAAATTCTGACTTTTATTTATTACACAAAAAAACTTGGAAGAAAAAAATTATAGAAAAGCGCGGAAAATATTCAGACCAATGCTTCATCATAATATCTTTATATCTAAAGCTGATTTTAGCTACTTTTCAGTTTTTAATATATTTGTTTAGGACTGAACCTGTAGACATCTAACAAAATATTTTAGTATACCATCTTTATATTACCATTGTCAAGCCCATGCCTTATTTAAGCAGGGTATAGAAGACAGTCAAACATCCTAATGATTCAGTATTTGTACACAATATATATATTTAATATAGTAATGCGATCCTGTTCAAATTGTTCTTATAGCTAAAGAGCATATTGAAGCTTATAATAACCAAGGTTTCTTTTAACACTGAAATAGTTTTTTATGAGAACTTCTTTAACTCATCAGTTAGCATAGAAACAGGCAAATACCCCTAACAACACGTGGGATTATGCGGATTAAAAATATATATGTTATTAACGGATATGCCCTCTCAGAGATGGTATCAAAGAGTATATAAAATGGAAAATAAATGTATAAATAAATAGTTAACAAACAATTTTACAGATCTAATACTTTTATTTAGTTTAAATAAATATTATTATTTATTATTATCTTTGTTCTCGAGTTTTAAACTTAAGTGCAAAACATTTATTTATTTTACTTAATTATCATTATTATTATTCTTGAAGGGAGCTATGATAAAGTTCCGTGGGATCAACCCAATTTTCAAAAACACAAAAATCATTAAACTTCTAATATGTGATATATTTTACTTAACAGAAATTTGCACACCAAAATTCTAAAATTTGCATGAAAACAAACTAAATGCAACTCTATAGAAACTCGCCTATCTTTACAGACAGATAAAAAAAAAAAAAAAATCAAATAATAGAGAAGATTGGAATTAATAGATTATCACTTTTTTTAATTATAAGAGCAAAACAAATTAAACTTACTTCATTCAAGGAAAAACTTAAGGCTAGCTAAGTAAAATAATAATATTAAAAAAAAAAATAAAACAAAGCTTAGCTTAGCTTTAACTGAAAAAAATTTCTTAAAAGTTTCGTAATGCAGATTTTAAAAAATAACCAACAATATGTAGCGGAAATAGAAAAAAATGTATAAGTCATTTATAAAAGTGCGAGTAGTTGCTTTTCGAGCACTATACAAAAAAACGCTGAGATGTTCAAAACAGCGCGACTTCAAACTTGGTCAATGCTTGTCGTTGCATTTCTTTGACACAACCCGTGGGCCCTATATAAACCCACTTGGTTGCTGCACTCAACATCGCAGTTCGCTTTTAGCCAAGTTCAGCAAACAATCAACATGAAATTCATTGTGCTCGCCGCCCTTGCCTGCCTGCTGGCCGCATCCGTTGTTGCCGACAAAGAGGAGAAGATGCTGGGCTCTTCTTATGGTGGTGGTGGTGGTGGCTATGGCCAACCTGCTGCTGCGCCCGCTGCACCATCTTATTCGGCACCGGCTGCACCATCTTATGCCGCACCTGCTGCACCATCCTACTCCGCGCCAGCTCCAGTCTCTATACCCGCTCCGCCGTGCCCGAAGAACTATCTGTTCAGCTGCCAGCCTAACTTGGCCCCTGTGCCATGCAGCGCCCCAGCGCCCAGCTATGGATCTGCCGGTGCCTACTCCCACTACGCGCCAGTCTTTTCGTCCCGCCCAATGTATTAATGATGGGAGGATTACAAAACATTTATCTGGACTTTTATGAAAACAACACAATAAATTAAAACGATTTGATAACAGAAATTTACGAACAATTTTGGAAATTGGGCAGTGTGTTTTTGGGCTGATTTTAAATTATTTTTTCAGTAGGTAATAATCAGATTTTTATACAAAATCAGAATTGCAGATTTTATACAAAACCTCAGTTGTTTTGTTTTGTTTTTATGAAAAATATTATTTAAATCATTCTAAATCATTCTTTTTAACCTATATCTTTTATATGTTATTAGTATCTGATCGCGAAATAGTTGTATAGGATTCATATATTAGGCAAAGTAAATTTCATAACGAAATTCGAATACTCTGCAATTTTATTGTTGAAAGTAATATATATATAATTAACTCCTATGCAATAAAATTATTTATGGTATATGGAAGAATTCTGCCTAGTTTCTAAATAAAATATAAATATCTGCAACTGACGTTTTGAAAAACTTTGAAACTAAGATTAAGGTATTTTTTTTTGTTTTTTATAAAATATCCATTTATTGTCAACTTTAACAAGCCGATATGCCAATTCACAATAGAATAATTTAATTTAGTTAAATTATCATTGTCTATATATATATATTTGTAAAAACATTAACAAACTTTATGGCTTAAATGTATTATAAATTCAATTGCTGCGCAAAACAGCAGAAGCACATGGTCTCATATCATATTATATATATCTCAGGGGGTAGTTTGATTGGATAGTCGAATGTGGAGTACGAATTGAAATGATAAAATAATGTGTGAAAATGAAACGTGAAATATTAAAAATAGTCAATACTAAAGTTATTCAAACTGAATGTAAACTAAACAGACAATTTTTCGAACATAGTTGAAAAATTGCTATTAGCTTTCGCTTAGTCGACTTCGTCCTGGACATCGTCAAAGAAACGCGCCGCCTGCAGCTGTTTACGTATGGCGCCCACTTGGGTTAATATTTTGGGTGACGAAGTGGTCAACGTAAACTTTTGCACGGCGGGCACCTGGTAAATATTGGAAATGATTAATCTATTTGTTATTCGCATAATTACACTTTGAACTACACACCTCCCAGCGCTTCTTGAGATTATCCATTTTCTGCTGACGATTTCCGTCCAACTTTGTGGCCGTCTCTTTGCGCGTCATTTTTGGCATTTCTCGTAGCAGCGGCATGGATAGATTCTGTGTGAGCCCCTCATGCAGCACCACATCGCGCCGGCCCAAGGATTGGGGCGTCGTCTGTGTGCCACGATGGCGAGATTCGCTTTTACTGCGCATATGTTGCTGCTTGGCAGCTAAATCGCCATAGTTCTTGAGATAACGGGACAGCCGCTGATCTGTTTGGCGACGCACACGCTCCATGGCCTGCTCATCGGCACTGTCGAGTTCGAAACTGTTGTTAGCGCTGCCAGAGACGGTGGGCAGCTGATCTAGCAGCATTGGCTTTACGGGCGTGGCCTTATGATCCGCATTGTGCACCGAGTTAGACGCGATATAAAAAGAATATGGTGGCGGCGTGGTATTAGACAAATTTGAGGCATTGTTTTCTGCCGCCGGAGTTGGCATCGCATAATTAACATCCAGAACACGAAAGGCATCCTCCGATTGCGGATCACGACCCTGCTGCTCGTTGATGTGCGTACGTTCGGCATCACGCCCACAGGCAATCTCGTCCAGGCAAAATGAGCACAGATTACGACGACAGCTCATGCAGACATTACGTTCTGCCTGGCAGGCGCGGCACACATCGCTCTTGACCAGACACTGGCTGCACAGGGCATACAGGCGTTCGCATTTGAGACAGACCAGCGCATAGCTATTCTGACAATCGTGATCCACTGCATCCGCGGCATCCGTCTCTACCTCTCCAGCAGCTGTCTGCTCGCTGCTCTGCTGCTTCATTTTAAGTGCCAATTTGCGCTGACAGCGTAGACAACAGCTCTCGTAGCTCTTCAGCGGCCCATCGCACAGCGGACAGATCTTCTCGCACAAATGGAAACATTCGCGCTCGATTTTTGCCATTTGCGGCAGCTCGAAGTCCAGTTCCACGCCCGCCGGCAACGGCTTACCACGTCGATACTCATGCCTTGCCGAATTACTGAAGTATTTGTACACCTTATTGGTATTTGTGTTATTGTTGTCGTTGCTGCTATTGTCGTTGTTATTGTTGTTGCTGTTGTTGTTGTTACTGCCTTTTACATCCGTTACTGCAGCCAGATTATTGCGGTCCTTTGAGCGCAACAGCTCCGCATCCTGCTCCAGCTTGGCCAGCAGCTTCTCGCGCATCAAGCGATTCTGTTCCGTCTCGATGCGTGCCTGTTGAAGCGTTTCAAAAGCATTTTTTTGTTTAACTTTAATAATATCAATTTTGTATATATCACACACACTCGCACACTTAGGCATTTCCATAGCGTTAAGAAAAAATGAAATTAATGCCAAATCAAGCGCGAAATAAAAAAATAAAAAGAAAATCCAAAAGACGTTTTCCAAATTTAGTTTTCCAATTGAATTATGAAAGAAATTTGAGAGTAATATTGGAGTTAATGCGGAAATGAAATTGAATATTATGGGATAACTGATTTTGGACATTAAAGCTCAAGGGGGAGTAAGAAAGGATTACAAAACAAATGGAATAATGGAAGCAAAGCTTTTAAAGGAATGTGATTAATGGAACATGGGACAAATAAAAGCCTTAGACTCGGATTTGGATGTTTAAAAGAATTACATGTAAGGAACTTAGATTCAAATGAAATGAAATCCATTCACTTGGATACTGGAACTAGTTGGAACCTTGACAATAGAAATCTCTCAAATGATACAGCATAGAATGAAACGGGGCATTGGGAGCTAATTGATACTGATGCCGTCGATATTGGGTTTAAAAAACATGTAAAAAGTAGTAAACTTGGAAATGCTTTGAAATAAATAGGAATAGATCTTTGGATTAGAAGGGTATTAGAATATTAAAAAGTATGAATGTATAGAATGGAAATTAGTTAATGCAATTAAAAACGGTACGTTAGAATTGGACTACGTGAAAATTGAAAGGAAAAAATGTAGGATTTTCCAATAATATTAAAATATATATTCTTCAACCAAAAAGAAAAACAAAGAGAGATGTAGCAGTTTTAGATGTATTTTTTACGCCAATTGAAAAATTTACAATTGCCTCATTATGAAAAAAGTTGTGATAGGAAATTTGAGAACAACCTTTAAAATAAGCAATGATCAAAAACAAAAAGATAAAGACAAGTAACTAGATATGAAACAGTGTAATATGCCAACTGGTGTGTTTTGATGATTTTTTAATGGATATTATAAATTTGCACCTACCTTTTCTGCGCGTTGACGCTGCTTTTCCAACTGCTCCTCTAAGTGTATGGTCTTTAGCTGTGCCTCCAGGCGCCTATACAAGAAAATTTTAAATATTTTAGGCACATCTAGATAAATCCGTTACCAAACACTTACCTGGTCAGGATCTCCTCCTGTCGTCGTTCTTTTTCGCGTAGGATTTCTATGGAGCGACGCTTCTCCTCGATCTGTTGCATCAAGTCCCTTTGATAGTCCTTTTTGCGCGCCGTTTCCAGTTCAGCGCTGCGCATATTACGCTCATTGATGCCATCACCGCTCACAATATTGGAGAGCTCTACATGTCCCAAATCGTGGAGCAGTTGCTGGCGATTGGTGGCCGGCCGTATTTTCGGGGGCACATAATTGGGATTATTATTTACAATTAACTCTAGATCAGTCTTATCCGTTCTGCTATGTGATGTGCTTGTGCTTGATTGACTGGAGCGCGCTGTTTGCTGCTGCTCCTCTACCGGTACCGGCGATGGCTTCAGCTGACGTCGCTGCTTTGCCAATGGCGGATGCAGCATCTACAGCCAAATAAAGTAATTCAATTATTCACCAGGTTATAAATTTGACACTGATATCCATAACGAATGACGATATGGTTCGGGGTTCATGGTTCATGACACTTACCTGGTGCTTGAGAAAGTTCTGCTGATTCTCGCGCTGACGCTCACGCAAATAACTTTGACGCTTCTGATTTTCATTGTTAAAGCCAGGAAAATACGAATAAAATGTGTCCGTAACCCATTGCTCCATATCATCCTATGAGAAAGAAAGAGAGAACGTTCTGAGTAAGTATTTAGATTTTGGTCGAGTGTTATTTAATTCGTGTCGTAGGGTTTTGGCGACACTAACCACCAGTAGGAAACTCGTATACATTTTGTACGCTGGCAGTGCGTGGGCTGTGGCAGGGACCGGGGTGAGCCTTAGAAGCCAAATTTTTCCCCGAAGTTGTTTTTTATTTTTTGGGGTCAGCCTATTGCTTATAAACTGCGACTGGAGTTGCTCCAGCAAAGGCAACACATTGCCTACTGCCACATTTGCCACATCATTTTTATGCTGGCGACGCTGACGTCGACGTTGCAAATCGCGTGCGACGCTGGCATCAAAAATTTTTATAGAAAACAGGTAAGACTTCAAAAATTAATATTGGTTGACTTTCATAATATCCTCTATAAAATATATTAAGTAATTCAAACCAGTAAAAACAGTCTGATAGTCACGACGCGCAGGACAAAGAAACACGCGTAAATCTATCAACACATGATCAAAATTAGGTCAAGTAACGGAGGCAAGAAAAGGACGTAATTGAAAATACTAACAATAATATATAATAATATAATAATAATAATAATAATATATATATATATATATATATATATATATATATATAATTGAAGAATTGAGAGAGCAAAGGCACAAAGCAAGCAAAGATAAGATAAAGAATGCTTTTGCATGGAAATTGAATGGAAATTGAATCAATTGGCAATACACATAATTAGAGAGATATAGGACTTCAGTTTCTACTTGCTTCTTAGACCCATCGTACAGAGTATCATAACGCAAAGAGAATTATGAACAGGGGCGGAGCAATACCAACAACAATAGCTGCGTCATCGACGCAAGCCAAAGACGTTTCCGATGGCAGTTTATCAACAAGGGCCAGCTGTTCCGAGCTGTTCAATGCCCAGACTCGTATTGCTGTCGGGGCCCTGAGTGGTAGCGAGTTGTACAATTTATTAGCTGCATGCATTTCAGTCGACCAGCTGCTGCTGTTCGCCTCAATTAAAGTACATTTTAATAATTTCATCACTTGACAGCGACAAGTTCTGCCAGATGATTAAATACTTTGGCTTTTAGCATAATTAAAGGCTAATTTGCAGTAAGTATTACTTTTACACAAATACTCGATGCCACCTATTAGTAGTAGTCTGGCCTCCGTCAAAACTCTACAAATAATTTGCATACTCTAGCACTCTGTTATTCAGGTCAAGGAAATTATCAACGAAAATGTATAGTATAAATATGGAGAGAAGTTTAAGGAGTGCTATGCGAATTGGTGGATGTATACAAATATAGTTTATGCGTCTCGCCTTTGCTTGAGCATGGACAATTTTATTGTACATTCAGGTGCAACGATAAAAAAAAATATCATAGCCCCGTCACAATGGCACAGAGTGTGAAATATTTTATTTTATAATCTTATTTAAATATATATTTTGAAAAATTTAAAAACCATCTGAGACCTATAAAATAATTAACTACATGTAACTGAAAGAACTAAATAAGAGGGAATTACACAAAATGTTTATTTTATTTAACAGGAAATTATAACCAAATTTCAATTCTTACCCTTAACCAACTACTAATCGACTTTACTTCTAGTTGTATTTTTTAGTTATTGAACATTTAAGTCTTCAAACACTAAATAAGTAGAATATTCCAACAAAAATATTGTAGATGCTTTAACCTAAAAAGAAAAGCTTGAACTAAATTTACTGGCTATTTTACCATTGTGTTTGGTTTTATCATAATTTTACTACGTCCATTCATTAGGGGCACCTCTTGCGTGTCCCGTTCAAATTAGGTTAACTAAGTGGGAAACTCGTTTTCATGTACGCGAAAAGTGCGAAAGCTAATAAAAATGAGTGTAAAAACGCAGCGGGTGGATAATGTCTAACAAGAAGCCGCGCATTAGTATCTTAGGGGCCATTTATGCATCATAAGTTCAAGGCCATTCAATGGTGTTTTGAACAAGTGGTACTGAAAATTATATGTATGCACTTCACCCCAAAAGCTTTTAGTGTCACGCTTTTCAAATTATTTTTAACGGCTCATTAGGCTGACCCAGCGACAAAAATCTAGACCGAAAGTCCACTAATAATACCCAATTGTAAAGGCTACACAATGCTGACCAATTAATTAGAGGCTTTGATATAACTGACCTTGTTTAAGTCGCGTCCTTTTTTTCCATTCCTTTTTCTTGGCTAATGACTTAAGTGGCCCGACTAAAAGGGTCTACAAAACTATTGACGCGGTTAGGTCACCTCATCAATCATCCACACATACAAAATTGTCATTAGCTATTGAGAAAGAAACGCTTCCGCGGAAATGACCAGGCACTAAACACCATTAAGACCCGCAGCCTGCAACCCTAAGATTCGACAAAACTGGCACAATGCACTTTGTGGCCGGAAATTGCATGACCAAAGCTTTCAGTTTTCATGCACTAGTCATAAAACTAAACTGCTTAAGAGTTGCTAAAAAATGCAAACAATTTAAGGTAAAAAAAACTATAAAGTTGAAAAAACTACATTGCTAAAATATTAAGGCAAAAGATAGGGCGAAATAATAATGAGTACATTAATTCTACCCTCTTTTGGTATCTTCTAAGTATTAATCATTAATTAAGCATATTACGTGCCACATAAAAAAAACTGTAAGGAAAATAAGTCCAAGACAGGAAGGTAAGCAGAAAAGTGAAATCATGTTCGTATAGAACATTTTTAAAATAATTTACTTTAATATTATAAGGGTATTTAATGGCAGGTGTTAGCAGCAATTTTTTCAGTCATGTCAATTTGTTTGCTTGCATTTTCTTTTTCTCTCTTCGGTTTTTTACCACCGGCATTTTGCATAGTTTACACACAGTAAAATTTGCGTCGTCGCGAGTTTTAATTATAGCTTGGCGTTGCTTTAATTAAACAATTATATATAAACTATATAAAAACTGAATATATGTTTATATATATATCTATATATATATATATATATATATATATATATATATATATATAAACTGAATATATATATATATTAAGTTTTTCTCCAATGTTTTCGCTTTTGCACACAATTTAAGTTTGGACAATGTATTCAGCCCCACCACCTGCTTACCTATATAGCTAATTTTTGTTATTTGTTATTTCAATCGCATGAGTTTTATTTGCATAACAACTTTACAAGTTCAGGCCAAAGCAAAGGCAACAAACGCAACAGACGAGCTTCAAATTACAACTGAACAGCGCAAGCTAAATTCATTAGCCAACTGAACACCAACACACAGCCAAAATGCCAACTGGAGCACGAAGAACAACCACAACAATAATAAAAATAGCAAAAGTAACAATAGAATTAACAAAGTAAAGGACATTAAAAATTCCTGTGACCGAACGAATGGAGGGCAATGCTCTTCAAAGTTAGAAACGCACACGACAGTATTAATTAATAATTAAAATTACCACATTGTTAAATAAAAATAAAGCAGCTCCTTTAGCCAAGTGGGTCCCGTTGCCTGATATGCCCGTTTGTAGAGGACACCAGCTGAAATTATTGACAACATGCACGTTATAAACGCAAACAATGCATACAAAATTGAAAAAGTGAATTGTGAAAAGCGAAAGCGTCCACATATCTATTCATTTTCTAATTGAAACTAGCAAAAAGTAGTAAGCTGAGAGTGTTCAACTGTTACATACCCCATAAATAATATCTTGGACAAATATGAGCTCAGTCTACCAAAGCTATACGGAACCGAAGATGACAAACTATTCAATAGCTAAGCAGCAAGAAATTATAAACGAAAACCTGGGTTGAAGATAGATATTTGTCGAATAACGGAAAACGATTGGACCTATAGATCGTTGGATAAAGACAACGTCTGAGCTACATTGCAACTTTGAAGACACTTGCTTTAATGCTCTGCGACAAAGTTCATAAACAGGAACAAACTAATTTATATTTATCGACTTCGAGAAAGTAGGAAAAAAGTTATGGATAATTTATAAAAAACTAAAAGCCGAATTGGACCTGTACAACAAATTTGTAGAAAATTTCTAAAATTTTCTAATCGACTAAGATTCAAAAAATAAAACACTCACTATTTGGGAAAAGTTAAACTCGTAACACCTTGAAAAGCCGTTGACAACTAAATTTAAGTTTTGCGGCAGCTGCTCGACCAAAACGCATCGGCTCAACGAGCCGTAAAAAATTCGCATACTTGTGGATAATCTTACGAGCATTTTTTTGGGCGTTATGCCAATCAAGCGTGAACAACCAAAATTGGCAAGCTTTTGGGCGCCACTCCTCCTACCCACTTACCCCTCCTGTACGACGACCAATTGGCAAACGATTCTCGCTTTGCGGCCGCTCGCTTTCTAAATTACGCTGCGACGCATTAGCCGATTTGTATTGTCGCGCGCTACCAATAAGCAATTCACGTTGATTCACAAATTCCTTGGCCGACTTCACTAGCGATGCGATAGATGGGCTCCCCTCCAGCTGCTCCTGCGACTCCAACTCCGCCTGCCCCTCGCTCAGCTCCAGTTGCTGCTCAGAGTTTTGGCTTGTGGTTGCTAAGGTAGAGTTTGAGGCTTTTGTGGGTTCATTGCACTTGCTGCTTGTGTTGGCCATGCGATGACATTGCCCTGGCTTATAACCCTCAAGTTGCATTAATAAGGCGGCAGGACAACTGGTTGGTGCATTGTTTTTGTTAGTATCGTTTTCAAGGGTCTTGATAGCCGCGCTCAGGCGTTGGCGATCGTGTTCCAGCTGCTTGCGTTCCAGTGATAAGAATGGCTGCAGATCCATGTTGGACATCCAAACTATAGACATAGAAGATAATACTAAATATATTACTTTCAAATAATTCAACAAACTCACTGTAATTCAAAATGCATCTCAGAAATTGTGCAAAAATGTTAAATTAGACATTTGCCAGCTAACATTTAGCCTTTTGATAATCACTTTACAAAAAATTTGCGCATGTCACATTATTAACTTTAATGTCAAACAATAGCACATTAAAGAGATCTTTATCACTTGATATTTTGTTAAGTGTCTTCTGATTTGTTCTTTATTAAATTATTTTTAGCCGATTTCACGCCACAGGTCTGCTGCCTGGGAAGCCAAGCATTTCAACACTGACTGCAGCGTAATAACGTAAATTGATTTACATATTTTTCGCACACAATGCGCGAAAATTAGCTACCATCCAGTCAATTAAAGGAGATGGTTCAATTATTGAGTTATAACACTACCCCGTGCCTTTTTTAATATTAAAAAACACGCACTAGAGATAATAATTTCGAAATTGTTAAATTTTCTGCGCGCTTGACTGTGATGGCATTCGCCGAAATGAGGGTTGCGCAGTGCGCACTGAGCGTCGCGACCCAGTGTTGAGAAACAACAACATGTAGCAGCCCTGTGTTGCAGCCCTGTAAACTTAAATTTTTAATATTAAAAATACAATTCAAATTATAGCAGGCTGATATTACCTGCCAAATACTTCACTTAAGAATCTATAGCAAACGTAAATTCTGAATTATATGTAGATACCAGTATTACAGATTTTCAGGTGAGTTAAATAAAAAAAAATTGAATAAACCAAACTCGCAACTAAATATAGCATTAACAAACGAGCACGCCAGATATGTCTGAAAAGAATGGGCAGACCAAATCGCTCGAAGCAAAGTTACCCTGGTACTACAATCTATACAACACCATCAAGGATACGCCCATTAATCTGACGCTGCTTCTCGTCTCGGCCTTTGTTTTCTATAAAGTGGTTAATATAACCCGCCAACGGCGTAATCTGAATCGTATCCGGAATTTCTTTGGCTACGACAAAGGGAATCAAATATCGCAGCTACCGCCGCTGCATCGCGATTTTACCGTTAAAGAGTTACTCGAATATAATGGCACTCAAGAAGATGGACGTATTCTGGTAGCGGTCAATTTTAATGTATATGACGTGTCCTGTGCGAAGCACTTTTATGGCGAAGGTGGCACATACCCTCAGTATGCAGGCTGTGATATATCGCGCAGTCTAATTAACTTTTCAGCGGAGCGAAATGATTGTCTGGACTTTGATGATCTAAGCGATTTAACTGCAAAGCAAAGGAGCACATTAGTGGAGTGGGATCAACAATATGCTGAAAAATATCCTTTTGTTGGCCATTTAATGCGTGAAGAAGAGCCACCCATAATTGATGCAAACGAAGAGGACAAAAACGCGGAACTTGAGAAATTATTGGAAGAATACAAGATGTAACTAATTTAAAAATTTATTGTTACAAACCTCAAATACATGTTAACAGAAAAAAAATTAAAAAGCTGAAGTGAGTACACAAAAATTGTTTAAATTAGCGCCCAACGCTTGGCAACGCCACAAATGCAACCGTACGGACAGATAGTTAACCAACACTGGCCATCAGCTGTTCGTCTCTGACAGCGCCCGTCAACCAACGCGTCCACTTCCGTTTCTTTTCACTTTTCACCAGCAAGATGAAGTACGTAAAAAATAAATAAATTAATAGAAAATATGAACATCACTGCGCAAAGCCGATTGATTAGTGCTTCAACCGACAATGGATGTTGTGCATTGGTGTTGTGCTATTTTATTTCCTAAGCCTATGCTCAAACAATACGTTTTTATTGCAGAATCGGTTTGTGTGCATTCAGCGGGTATAAGATTTACCCCGGCCATGGCAAGACCATGGTCAAAATCGATGGCAAGGTAATGTAAACAATTTGTATGGTCTGGTTGAAAGATTTAATTTGTACGTATGTATATTTGTAGACCTTCACCTTTCTGGACAAGAAGTGCGAGCGCTCCTATCTGATGAAGCGTAACCCCCGTAAGGTTACCTGGACGGTGCTGTATCGCCGCAAGCACCGCAAGGGTATTGAGGAGGAGGCCTCCAAGAAGCGCACGCGTCGCACACAGAAATTCCAGCGCGCCATTGTTGGCGCCTCGCTGGCTGAGATCATGGCCAAGCGCAACATGAAACCGGAAGTACGCAAGGCTCAGCGCGACCAAGCCATAAAGGTGGCCAAGGAACAGAAGCGTGCCGTCAAGGCAGCCAAAAAGGCCGCAGCACCAGCACCAGCCAAGAAGTCCGCGCCCAAGCAGAAGGCCACCAAGGTAACGCAGAAGTCTGCGCCTCGCGTCGGTGGCAAGCGATAAATAACAACTAGCTGTTCGGTTGCGGCGAAGGGAAGTGAAGTGCTACGGTTTTTATAACAAAAATGATTGAAGAAAAGAAAATTTTAGTGAAAAACTAATTAAAAAAATAAAAGCTACAAATGTAAATTTGTAGCGGTTAAAAAAAAAACGCGTACTTTTGTTTTTGGCAGGTGCGTTTAGCCGTTGGCTAAAAATTATAATTTTCAAATATGGAGCACAGATATAAAAAATGCAAGTTTTCGTTCGGTTATTTCGAAGAAGACCAGAGTGTATCCCAACTTGGAGCTTTAATCAATTGAAATTTATATAAACATAAAAAACCATTTGACTTGTGGATATTTCATAGACCTGTCGATTAAGGTGGTTTTTCGTTTTTTTCTACTGAGTAATAATAATGTTGGGCCTGATTGGACGACGGACTAAAACTTAAAGCTCTTAAAAACTGGTTTTAAATATGACCAAAATATATTTCCTTATAATATTTAATAATCAAGATATTGTATTCGTAGATTCGTACAGTGGCAACACAATTTGTTTCTTAAAGTAACAAAATTGTATTTGATAGTGCATTTAATCTTTGGCTTCCCGAGAACATGCTTTTTTATACCCTTGCAGAGGGTATTTTAATTTTGTCGTGAAATGTGTAACGCATAGAAGGAGACATCTCCGACCCCATGAAGTATATATATTCTTAATCAGCATCAACAGCCGAGTCGATATAGCCATGTCCGTCTGTCTGTTTCTATGCGAACTAGTCCCTCAGTCTTAAAGCTATCCTAATGAAACTTTGCAAAACTCCTTTCTGTTGCATGCAGCACATATGTGAAAACCAGCTGGATCGGACCACTATATCATATAGCTGCCATAGGAACGATCGTTCGGAAATTAAGTTTTTGTATGAAAAACATTATGTTTATCAAGATATCTTGAGCAAACTCGGAATTTATTAGTTTTACTTTACTCCTCATATATATGCAAAATCCTATTAAGATCGGACCACTATATCATATAGCTGCCATAGGAACGATCGGTCGAAAATTAAGTTTTTGTATGAAAAACATTTTGTTTATCAAGATATCTTGAGCAAACTCGGCATTTATTAGTTTTACTTTACTCCTCATATATATCCAAAATCCTATTAAGATCGGACCACTATATCATATAGCTGCCATAGGAACGATCGGTCGAAAATTAAGTTTTTGTATGAAAAACATTTTGTTTATCCAGATATCTTGAGCAAACTCGGCATTTATTAGTTTTACTTTACTCCTCATATATATGCAAAATCCTATTAAGATCGGACCACTATATCATATAGCTGCCATAGGAACGATCGGTCGAAAATTAAGTTGTATGTAAAAACATTTTGTTTATCAAGATATCTTGACCAAACTCGGCATTTACTGTTTTCCCGGTACTTCTTAGATAGGGGCAAAGCACTATGAGCATTATGAAAAGTTTAGGTCTGCAAGGGTATTAGATCTTTGGCGTGCCGAAGATAGCCCTTCTTTCTCGTTTCTTGTATAACTTTGGCAAACGTGTCCATGCCACTTATCCATTGGATATATATGAAACACCAGAGTAATGCAATAATTAAACCTTTGCGCCTACTCCATAATGGGTAATTATTTTGTATAATCTTGCAGAGGGTATTACAATTTTGTCATGTAACGCATAGAAGGAGACATATTCGACCCCATAAAATATTTATATATTCTTGATCAATATCAACAGCCGAGTCGATATAACTCTGTCTAGTGCTGTGCTAACTTGTCTCAGTTTTAGAGCTAAAGTCTTAATACTTTGCAGAAGTGCCTCTTTCTGTTGCACGCAGTACATATGTCGGAACCGGCTGTAACGGACTAGTATATCATGCAGTTGTCATAGGAACGATCGGTCGAAAAGTAGGTTTGGTATGAAAAACTACTTTGTTTATTTAGATATAATGACCGAATCCGGCATTTATGAATTTTTCTAAATTTATGCAAAATCTTTATACCTTGGACCATTATATCTGTAACTTTCATAAGAACGATTGGTCGAAAATTAAATTGTATGAAAAACTTTGAAAGGTTGGGTCTGTAAGGGCATTAAATCTTGGCGTGCCAAAGAAATTCATTCATCCTCGTTTATATTTTCCGTTTTTATCTCACAATCGTAACGTTTAGGTGAAAAATTAAGATTTTGGTGTTTGTGTTTTCCTTTCACGTTGGTAAAAGTTTTACAGGCTTTTAAGTGTGGGGATTTATTATTGCACACAGAGTGGTAAAAATAGAAATAGTTCGATGGTTTTTATTTTAAATAAACTCGGAGTTGTATTTCTTGCATCCTATAAAATTTGTCAAATGTCCTATGGCGTCCGTGTGCACTTTGACATATGTGCAATTGGGATCGTACAAGACAGTTACTTGCTCTTCTTGGAACTCATCATCGTAGGAGCTCTCCAAATGCACCGTCGGCACCTGCAGTTCGACGAGCTTAATGCAGTCCAGATCGCAAAGTAGCTCCAGTAGCAGCATCGTATCCACGGGCAACAGATGCGGAAAGCGAAGGAACAGGCTGTGTACGGTGCAACCGTTGCGCGTAATGCACTCGCTCAGCACGGCGCCCATCCAGCGATCGAGAACGCGACGATTGAGAGAAGCATTCACACGTATCCAGGGCTGTGGACGCATTGCAATCACATCGCGCGTGGCCTCTGTATCGCCAACGGACTTAACTGCCGATTCCGACTTGCCCTCTGCTCGCTTGAACCGTTTGGAGCGGCGGGCGCAATTAAACATTGCCATTTCACCGTCTGTATCCGTGTCTGTGGCCTCATCCCCGCTGCTCGGCTCCATCAGCGGCGTGAAACACAGTTTGACCTTTTTGCTGGGACTCGCCTGTTGTGTATCCGAGTCAGGCAGTTGGCGCTTTTGGCCCGCCACCGCTTGCAACGTTGCGGGCGATGCAGCTACCAGTGTCTGGACGCGCTCACGCTCCAACCGCTTGATATGGAACGTATGCACCACCCAGTTCCGCATGTGCGACTTATGAACATACATATAGCTGGCCACTCCCACATGCTTGATAAGATCATGCGCCTCCAGTTCGTGCAGCGCCTCCAGCAAAAATTGGCCCAACGGAAAAATGCGTCGCAGCTCCACAGCATCTGCGCCAAGCGGGTATTGTTGTAC